AGGGTTAGAGCCATCTACCATCAGGGTCGGAGTGGTCTACTGTCGGGGTTGGAGGGGTCTACTGTCAGGGTTAGAGCCATCTACCATCAGGGTCGAAGTGGTCTACTGTCGGGGTCAGGGGGTCTACTGTCAGGGTCAGAGGGGTCTACTGTCAGGGTTGGAGTGGTCTACTGTTGGGGTCAGAGGGGTCTACTGTCAGGGTTAGAGCCATCTACTGTCAGGGTCAGTGCCATCTACTGTCAGGGTCGGAGTGGTCCACCATGGTGTTTGCTCCGCCTCTAACAGAAACATCGTTTACTTTTGTCATTTACTTTGATATCATCAAATGAGTCTTGTGGTCACTGAAAATAAAAAAAAAAATGTTTTAAAATTTGTACATACTAAACATACAATTTATTAAAATTTACATGTATATTTGTTGCAAACTGTGGAGACAGATCAGCTGAAACTACAGCGTACAGATGTATCACAGTCAGAAGTCAGAAGTTCTGAGCAAATTTAAGCAGCCACAATGCTCCTCTGTCCAGAGCGCCCAGACAGAGGTCTCTGTCAAAGGAGCATATGCTCGTGTATTTTCTTAAGTGATTGATGGTGGCTGTCAAACTACTTTAGTACTTAGCTTCGTGGATATATTTACAAGCATGACTGACAGTTTTATTCTGCAGTCTTAATATTTAACCATACCAGCAATTACTTACATTCTTTGCAATTATTTACATTTTTTTTTTAAACTTTAGATGTTGACTTCATAATGTGTGAGTGGTTTGACAGCTTTTCAGAATTCTTTTAGGGAAAACAAGAGCTAAGGTTTTGGACACCCCTGCCCCACCAACCTCAGCAGCGTGGTCAAGCTAAGCACCAACTGTATGCCCTAAGGTGCCCACTACATGCCCCAAGCCAGGAGCCAGCCTCCTCTAGTGGAGACATGGGAGTCTGAAAAGCAAGACTAATTCTGAGGTGGCGAGGGACTGGTGACTAGCACAGAGCAAGATCTTAGGAGGAAGCATCCAGGGGCAGCCCTAGCCAGGAGGGCAGCGTAGGTCAGGAAGATCAGGCAGGCAGAAGCGTCCTTCAGACAGGAGGATCTTGCAGAAAAGGTGGGGACAGAGAATGAGTAGATGGGCCCAGGAAAAGTGAGAAGTCAGATGTCAGGAAAAGGCACATCAGGGGTGGCAGGGAGAAGTGAGGGGCCAGAGCTAGGAGGCTACTCTTGTGGCCTCTTTACAGCCCTTCCCAAGTAGACACCCAGAAGTTGCTTGTACACCCACATACACACCTATGCCATCTCACTAGGTCGGGGAAGATTTGGAGTGCCTAATCCAAACACCTTAGATCCCAGGAATCACTTAGTGCTCCCTCAATGTAGGAGCACTAAGGCCCAAGGCCAGCAGCACACCCCACTGTGGAGCAGAGCAGGATGCACTCACAGGCAAGGGTTCAGATCTTGGCCAGACCAACAAGCTTCCAGCAGGAGACACTCATCATCACTGAACAATAAGGACCACAGACCACAGACTTTTACAGGAAACAGCATGCAGGAGAGAGAAGAGATAGCAAAGTAGCCCGGGGGGCCCTCCAGGGGCTCCTCAGCCCCCCCCCCCATGTTGGAGTCCTACTGACCAAGGAGAAGGGAGGGGCCAGCTGAGTCATTCCAGGTAGCAGCCCTGGTATTCTGCATTTCACCCAAATTGGAGATACCTTCTTCCTGAAGTGGGCAGTGTCACTGGAGCTGTGATGTGTCTGCTCCCTATAGCAGGGGACTGCCTTTGCCCCTCCTGTCCAGGACCTGAGTCCTCACCCGGAAGCCTGTGCAGGCAGCAACCTGCATCCAAAGGTGACAAGGTTGCACGTTTGCTGACTGCAAGGTCCTGGAGGCTTCCCTTTGTGGTCACCTCAGCCACCGTTTCCCCGCCCTCCCCCCCCCCCCAGAGACTCAGGCTGGGTGGCAGGCAAGAGGCTCAAGGCTGTATCCAAACCTCCACAAAGACAAGTGGCCACCCGCAGCCCTGCAGCAGCAAGGCCCAGAAACCTAGGCGCTCTGATCTGTGGACCCCAAGGCCTAAAGCTGAGTGCCTGCTGCCACATCTACCCCCCTCCTGAGCCTGGGGCCCACAGAGAGCACTCAGGGATAGCCAGCTAGCCACAGTCACACAGCTGGGAGACGTCTTTTCTCCAGCTCTGGCAGCCTCTACTCCACGGGCTGGCTGCTCTGAGCTTCCAAATACCCCAGGAGGGAGGAGGCTGCACACCATGGTTGATTCAGTCCATTTGGGTGGGTCTTAGTATCAGCACTGTGTCCAAGGTGAGACCACCTGGCTGGGTGCAGGGACCCTGCTCCCCAGCACCTGCCCTGGTTCCTAGTCTGGAGCCTCAGTGCCCTAAATGCAGGTCAGGGCCAGGAGCCACAGAGGCCTGACCCAAGGACAGATGCTGGAATTAGCATCTCTGCCCATGCTGCACCCAGAGCTTTGTAGGCCATGCCAAAAGCCCTTCCTTGTTTGTTCAAGAAGCATTTATTAAGCACCTACTGTGTGCCTGTCCAGGTTGTGTGCTAAGGATAGCCTGGCTCTGCAGTGTCCACTCTCTCTGGGGCTCTGACCCACAGTTCTGCTAAGTGGGGGTAGTAGGCAATGATAAGATTATCACCCACCCTCCTAGCCCTTTGAGAGGACATCCTGACTGCCAGGCTGGGATGGGGCTGTCGGGGCCTTGGTACTAAGCTCCCCCAGTATTGAGGAAAGCCCAGGGAGTGGACCCTAATGGGAGGAGAAAGAGTTAATCAAGAGCCAGGGGGACTGCCAAAGTGGGGGATGTGGCTGCTGCCCCACCTCCCAGGGCTAACTCCAGATCTGCCACCTCCTGCCCTTCCTCCCCACGTGCCCCCATCCACCCGCCTCTGCAGAGCCACCGACTGCTGCAGCCCCGCACCTCGGCCCACAGGGAAGGGGGTCACCGGGTCGAGGGCGCGGTGCCCTCCTCGGATGGACTCCGCCTGCGGACCCGCGGTGTGCCCAGGTGGGCGCAGACCCTGAGGTCTCCTGAGCGTCTCTGAGGACTGCGGCCACGCGCAGTGGCTCTGCCCCCAGCAGTCCCCGGCCACTCTGGCCGCCGCCTCCAGCTCTGCCCCCAAAAGTGGACCAGATGCCCAGGGACCGAGGCCCAAGATCGCCCGTGAAGTCCCCGGGCGTCCCCCAGCGTCAGCCACTGTGGCTGCGGCTCGGGCGCCGCCCCCAGCCCCGCCCCAGACTCCCTGGGCGCGTCCCCTGCCCGGCGACACTGCGGCAGGCGGCGCACCGCGGGGCGGGCCCGGCGCGGGGGGCGCGCGGCGCGTTGCCATGGCGGCTGGGAGCGCGTAGCCGAGCCTGCCCAGCGCGGGAGCAGGGCGCCGAGCTGGGCCACGGTGCTAGGGGCGGTGGGGACTGCGGGCACGGCTGGGCGTGGAGCGGGTTGGACAGCGCCGCGAACAGCGCGCCCCCAGCCCGGCACGCTCAAGGCCCCGGCGGCACTGTGCAGGATGCAGGCCACGGATCCGGCCGCGGCGGGTCTCTACGAGGAGGACAGCAGAGACCTGGACTTCTACGACTTCGAGCCGCTCCCCACTCTGCCGGAGGACGAGGTGAGCCGCCCGGCCCCACGGGGACCTCTTTCCCTGTGGAAGACGAGGAGCGGGAGATCTGGCCCCGGGGCGGGGGGGATCCCACAGCTGTGCTCATAGCCCTCCTTCCACACTTTCTCCAAGGGGTCAGGACCCCTGGATAGAGCACGGTGGGGGGGGGGGTCATTGCAGAAGTTGGCAGTCTTTGGGGGGTGGGTTCCTGATCATAAATGTTGGCTGGACAGTGTGGGCGAGTTCTAGAGGACACTGTTTACCTACCTGCCAGCCACCTGGGAGGCTCTTGGGAGTAAAGGCAGCAGACCCCATTCAGGTGCCGTTTGAGGAGGGAAGTAAGCCCCCCCACACACAGGGCAGAGGTTTTGGAGCTGGGAGTGGAGTGGATAGGGTGAGGGACAGGGATGGATGAGACCCCAGGAGGGCTGAGGTTCAGGAAAGCCTCTGAAGGAGACCCCACACACACACACCAGAGCTCAGAGCTACTTCCTGCTCTCTGGGGGCTCCAGGCCTGATTCCCTCCCCCAGGCACAGAGGGATATGCCTGCTGTCTCCATCCCACAGCTTCTGGTCATGCTCTGGCCACATGCCCACAGAACCAGTTTGCATGACTCTGGCAGAGAAGCAGGTCCCCACCTGGCTGGGTTTGTCTCTGTGGCTCGGCTCTGGCTTCCCATAGTGCCCTGCAGACAGTGGGTTGGGGTCAAATGAACAAGCTCCATGTCCTGAGAACAAGCCAGACCCAGAGGGACCCTCTTATTGCTCATGGATATGGGATCATCCAAATGTCTGTGCACCGGGCTTCTGCAGCTGCCGGTGGAGCACTGCAGGGCCTGCCTTTTAAACATCAGGCTGTGGTGCTGAAGACCCTCCACTTGCCCTTCTCAGCAAACCTGAGGCAGAGAAGTGCACACAACAGCCATTCCCAGGGCCTTCCACCTTCTGACAGCCCCCGCAGAGGGAGTGGGCTCCAAAGGCCAGGAGCCCATGCTGTGAAAACAGCATTGTCCTTCAGGGAAGGAGCGGCCAGCCCCATAGCCGCGGGGGCAGGGCTGGGGTTGGCTGCCCCACCCCCACAGCGGCCTGGATTTGGTGCAGTTGGAGGCTGCCCAGAGGAGAGGCCAGGGGACGTCTCGTGGCTTTAATGGAGAAGGATGCACGCAGCCCACAGCCTTCAAAAACGCCCTAAAGGACACATTTCACTGAGTGATCACTATGGGAAGTGGCCCTGAGCACACGGCTCTCCTCACAGTGCCCTTAGTACCAGGCACCTGAGCCTTGAGGGAGTGGCTGGTGCCCCATAAACAGGGTGTGCCACAGCTTGAGCCCAGATCCATTCAGCTGTCTTTCCAGCATCCCCTAGTCAGCACTCTCATGCCTGGAACAGCTCCCACTGTGCACAGTGCATGGAGTGGGGGGGCTCCATCCTGTGACCCTGACAGAGGCCTGCAGGTGATCTGGAACACCAGTAGCATCCAGTGGGAAAGGCCAGGTGGGCTTCACCTGGGGAGGTGGTGCTGCCTTCACAGGGGCTCCTGGGAAGCGAGGACATCCCTAGGCACAGCCTTGACTGATGGATTCTCTGTGTCTGAGCACACATCTGGGCCCAGACATGGCTTCTGTACATATCTGATTCCTCTTGAAGGTTTTACATCTACCTCAGGGCACATGTCCTGTAACTGAAGGCATCATGTGGTCAGCTCACGTCCGAAAGCTGTCCTGGGTGAAGTGAGGGAAGAGTGAGGCTGTACCATTGTCCCAGAGGGCAGGGCTGAAGCATCCTCTATAGAGACCCAGGGGGGCTGCAGCCCTAGGGCAGCTGCCAGGACAGTGAGGTGGCACCAGGCCCAGGACACACACAAGCTGCAGAAGACCTAGGAATTTACTCCTTAGGCCCCTAATTCTGACAGTTGACCACAGTGAAGTGGGGAAACACAAGGCCCCCAGAAGCCCCTGGAATGTCCCTCCTCCAAAAGACTCCAGAGAAAGTGCAGATGGCTATGAACATCAAAGATGTTAGCTCACCGTAATCAGAGCATGCAGAAAGGCTGACCAGAAGTTAAAAAGTCAGACAGTGGCTCATAATAGCCAGGACCAGCCCTCCCAGCTGTCCCTCTCGCTGGCAGGAGCATGAACTCCAGCAGCCTCTTTGGAAAACAGCTTGATATCCACCAGCGAAGGGCAGTTACTAGCAGCCGTGTCCCAGCAATTTCACTGGGGGTATGGGCCCCAGAGACACACGGTCCGAGGGCAGATAGCATGTGTCCAAGAACACCCTTAACTGAAAACCCTGGGGCATGTGGTGAGGGGACCAGGCTAACTTGGTCCTGGAGGCAGCACCACAGGGTCAGTACAAGCCAAGGACTACTGGTGCACAGCAGACAGAGAGATGCTCTGCCTGGGTACTGAGCAGAGCACCTGGGGGAGGTGTCCCTAGCTGGATTCATGTGGGATTTCAGCCACAGAGGAGAGGATGTGCTATCTGGGCAGGACACATCAGGCAGCTGCAGCCCAGAGTGGGCAGCTCTGGCTAGTCCTGTCATGAGCAGATGGAGTCGTTGGGCCTCAGGGGAGCTGGAGAGGGCAGGCTTGGAGATGAAGACGGCCAAGTTGGGTGCCAGAGCTGGGGGTTCCCAGGTCACAGAGACCACCAAGAGGCAAACGGCATTCTCCACCTCCCCGAGTCTGACGAGTACCTGCCAGCGCCTTCTGTGTACTGGCCAGGCTCAAGATTCAAAGGTGGGTGAGCCCAGTCACTGCCCAGAGGAGCACAGGTTGTGGCACCAAGGAAGACAGGGGTGTTCCAGGGAGACCTCCAGGCCTGTGTGACATCTGGACCAGAACCAGCCTAGAACAGGAAGCCCTGGAGATGAGGCAGGGGCTAAAGAGGGTGGGAGCTTTAGGGCCAGCAGGCACTAGGGGTCTGCCAGCATTGGGGAAGGGGAGTCTCAGTCGACCCAATTGGAGTTTCATGTCAGCAAGCGTCCTGTTAGAATATCCCAAGGCTGGCTCAGTGCCTGTAGCACAGAGGTTATGACGCCAGCCACATACACCAAAGTTGGCGGGTTTGAACCCAGACCAGGCCAGCTAATCAACAATGGCAACTGTAGGCTCGGCACCTGTGGCTCAAGTGGCTAAGGTGCCAGCCACATACACCTAAGGTGGTGGGTTCGAATCCAGTCCGGGCCCGCCAAACAACAATGATAGCTGCAACCAAAAAAAATAGCCAGGCGTTGTGGCAGGTGCCTGTGGTCCCA